GTGAGAACTCGAAAGGGGCACTCTTATCTATACGACGATCTTCCAAGTAACTTTTTCCCCTAGAAAAACGGTTACTAGATGGAAAACGAATACCACTTTACGTTTACGTTTCTCCTCGTGTCATAAATGATTAGACAAAATACTCGAAAGAATCGTGATTAATATCGTATTAAATACAAGTGACGGTATTTTATTAGATTAAATTTTGCAATATTATTATAGTTATATATTTGAAGAAGCAATAGTTTGAGGTTATGTCTTACGTATGTTAAATGTTCTTGTAAGAAGACTTTAACATCGAAAAAGCTTGGAAATTGAACGAGTTTCTTGATTGTGAATTAAATTAGTTCGAGTTACTATCGAGTCTACAGTCACGCAATCTGAAGTTGCAAGAATACTGGAGAAATCGAATTTTTAGATTTTCTAGGTTAGAATGCCCCTTCGAGTGTGCTCGGAAAACACTCACACTCGTGTACGTATTGTTTGATCGTGCCCTCTACAATTTCTTTGGCGATTACAGGGGTTCGAGTGCTCCCTTTTACGAAGACACGCTGAAGATCAAAGGTGAGGGTAGTTTCGTGATGATAAACTATCTTAGGTTAGTTGAAAAGGAAAGAAAGTACATGTATACCTGGTAAGATTCTGCAGTTTCGAAACTTCCTTACACACATAAATTGAAACGTTGCAGAAAACTGTACGTGTACATATTTATACATATATAATTTTTAATGAATCCTTAACCGTAAACGTTAGACGATCTCGACGAAGTGTGAATGAATTTCACGAAGTCAAATTTTAGTAATAAATTAGCCGCTGTAAAAGCACTTATATTACCTTATTCCTCGTGGAGCTTTATAATTAACGGAAATTCCTATTTCTTATACAAATCCTCTCGACTACGCGTTATAAAAATGAAACGGAAACACGAAGATTGGATTTCAACAAATATTCCATTTAATAGCTTTGATATACTTTATACAATAGTCACCATTATGTATCGGGAATAATCGAATAGTAGAAGAATAAATAATTCGACTAACGCAATAAATAGCGGTATAGTTTAGAACGAACTATAGTGTAACATTTTGATCGTTGCTGTGCTTATCGATCGGCGGTATCGTACGGATAAAAATCGGATTACTATTTCAAGATTAATGATTACGATGTCAACAACGTAGCGCTACCTATTTCGTGTTCCTTTTTATTTTTCTTAACGCATGTCCTGACTGAATAGTAGAAAAAAATACGTATCATTGCAAAATGCGTTGGAAACAATATTGGAAACGATGATTATTTTATAACATATAAAAAAGATATTATTTATGCACAGATGCATTTTCTATAGTATAACACACAGCTGTATCAGTTTGTTGATCATCATTAATTACGACGTACTACAGGATTAAATCGTTCTTTCAACAGTTAATAACTATTCAAAATATAGTATTAATCTTTAAGAAAATATATAACATGTAATTTACGTAGTAACGTATGACGAAGTGGCACTGCACGTGCCACGGGTAACGTATCGAAAAAAAGACGTGCAAATAAATAGGAATGCAAATATGAATCCATTCGACGACTTTGCGACTAAAAGTGAACTACCATGATGGATCGTGTCCGAAAAAGCTACCAAAAGATCGCACCGTAATTACATTCACCATACAATCGCGTTTAAGCGCTTAACGCAACGTGCAAGTTCGCGAAAACTGAACTTATATATTTACAGATTAATAATTAAAGCGATTTTTAAAAAACCGGGAAGCGTGTTCGCGATCATTGAAATGATTTTTCGAAAAGTGATTTCACCGTACTCTAGATGGAAAGAAGGTTGAACGATAAAAGATAAAAATTCGCGCGCGAAATATGAACATATCCTCTGAAGAATGGCGAATCGCAAATGACGCGTAAATATAATCAGCGAGATATAAAAGGATCGCGTTGAAAGCGAACGATGGGAGGGGAATCATTTTCTGACTTATCGTCGAATCAAACGAGGTATTCGAATACGACTGAAATTCGCGGCACAAAAACGAACGTACCAAAAAGCTGCAGTGGAAAGGCAAAAATGTAGTTCACAGAAGACTGGAAGCGTGCATCTTCCAAACGAGCTGCAAAATGCGACGTTGAAAAATATTCCGGTCGAAAGGTAAACGTCACTGGTAACTGATTAAAAGACGTTCGTTTCGCCCGTTAATCGCGGTTCTCTCGGTCCGCTGGAACACATAATTCGTGCACTCCCGAATCGACGGGCTTTGACGCAACGCGGACTTTGTAATTTCCATAAATCCGTTTCGTTTCCGATCGCCGGCCCGGCGTGCGCTAACTCACTCTCGCCATCTAGCGGGCGGGATTAAAACTACCCCTGTTCCGGCTGTCAGCTGCAAGCCGCGCGAAAACGCACGACGGGTGCGATTTGAAAATGAATCGCGACTGTTTTCGCTTAACCAGCATAGACGTTACTCGTCCGGGCAAAATTTTAATCGATTAACAGCCGAGCAGCAGGGAGGGTAAGTAGCGAACCCGAGTTCGTTCCGCGCGAATCGAACCTCGTTTCGTCCGATAAATTCGCGATCGCTGTGAAAAGAAGCGAACGCGAAATCGTTCGCTGCGATGCGTGTTGCGACCGTGTCTGGTAATCCACGGAACTCGTTCGACCAACGACAACGCGTGTTCCATTCCAGATTTGCATAGAATCCCCGCTAGATCTCCACTCCGTGCTGTCTACAAATCTACGGATCGCGGATAAATCGCCCTCCGTTCCACTCTATTCCTCCCTTTTGTCCTTGGCCTGTCACGCAACGACCACTCGTGATTTTCGTTCGAATCGGGTAGCAACTGTGGGAGACGTATTTTCTCGAAATTTCCCGAAATTTCCCGAAATTTCCCGAAATTTCGAGAAATTTACAGGTCTCCTGGGCGAAGCGTCGATCGTGCGAGTGATAACAAACGAATCGAGAGCCCCGGGTGAGACTGGGTTGATCTAGAATCTAGATCCTAGACGGTTCGCTGCAAGGTTACGCCGTGTGCGAGCCACGGCAGAGCGGAACGCGAAAGAAACGCGAGAAGGAAAAGGCGAGAGTGCGATGGGGAAACCTGTGGATCGTTGGGAGCCGCGAAAAGTCAACCGCGGGAAGATCGACGAGACACCTTGCTCCGATATTATACCTCGAGCACACGCTACGCGCGTATGTGTGGCGGTAATTACAAAAACGAGGCACGCCGCACTTCATCCTGCGGAATTATCTCCTTTAAATACAGATTGAGTAACAAGATGTTATAAACGAACCGGCAATTATGAAGTCGCTTTTAATTTGAAATAAGTTTATTGGGATGTCTTCCATTGCGTCTTCATTTTGCGAATTGAAACGACGTCGTAAGAGATTATTATACTTGGAAGAACAAAATTATTGATCTAATCTCTCGACGTGAATTCGACCTAAATTTGATGGAAAAAATATTGGTAAAATCAAAATTCCACAATAATAATATTTCAAATAAAAAGGATCACTCACGACGTCACAAAGATTATTATATTTGGAAGAACAGAATTATTGCTCTAATCTCTCGACGTGAATTCGACCTAACTCTGATGGAGGAAATATTGGTAAACTCAAAATTTCACAATAAAAATATTTCAAATGAAAAAGATCACTAACGACGTCACAAAGATTATTATATTTGGAAGAACAGAATTATTGCTCTAATCTCTCGACGTGAATTCGACCTAACTCTGATGGAGAAAATATTGGTAAAATCAAAATTTCACAATAATAATATTTCAAATAAAAAGGATCACTCACGACGTCACAAAGATTATTATATTTGGAAGAACAGAATTATTGCTCTAATCTCTCGACGTAAATTTGACCTAAATTTAATGGAAAGAATATTGATGAAATCAAAATTTCACAATAAAAAAATTAAAATAAAAAGGAATAAAAATTATAATTGATTTTTATGAATCTATTGGAAAATTGTCTAATTTCAAAAAGCTTGAGCATCAACTAACCTCTAATTTTTGATTAATCGTTTATACGATTTTTCTATAGACTAAATCAGTAGAAAATCGATAAGATAATTAATTGACTTTCTAATATTTTTTAAATTACACCATTTTCATAATTACCGACACACAGGTGTGCAGACGTGGATAGAAATGTAATTGCATCTTGACGAATGGGGCGACTTGGACTTCATCGTCTTTCATTTCTAAAGTGCTCCAGTCCTAAACGTTTATGGGATGAAGAAACTGGTCGTTGAGGAGTAAAAACATTATACCCACTGGAATAATATTTTTCCCTGTAACGCTGCATCCTCCAAGTGCTTCGAAGTGGCGAGTTTTTAAACGTAATTGAGGTTATAAAATCTAGTAAATAAGATGGTTCAGTGCGTCATGAACAAGTAGATACCTGTGAAACTATGGAAGCTAAGAAGCCTAAGTATAATAATTACCGAAGCCTCCCGTGTAACAGCGGCATTATCCGCGAGTTTTGAGCTCACCTTCATCGGTATTGCGCGAAAGCCTCGCATTTTCTCGCACCTCTCAGGTTAAGTAATTGAAGAAAACAGAAATCACCGAAGACAGTGACAGATGTGTCCAAGTATAATGACAAAATACAACGAACAAATTGTTACCGTAATATAGATTACTGTAATTATTTACAAATGACGACTATAATAAAATAACTCTAAATTAAATCCTTCTGCTTCCAGTATTACCTCTCATGACGATAAATTATCAGTAATGACAATTTTTACCTGTTATTCCCGACGCTACAAACACGATGATTTTATTTATCTAGATCCTTCCAAACATATAGCAACGAGCAAAATTAAATTTATACTACTTCAATTGTTAAACAGCCATAACTTTGTGCAGAGTAATCGTACATAGACGTAATTTTTACAGTCTTCTAAGTGAAAATCTGACTGTGTTTTCTCCCACGATAAAAACATCAAACAGAAATTCAATCTAGGGATTCGAAAGTACAGGCTCTGGCATTTATATGATGTTCGCAGACGTAACTGCACGATTATCCCTCACGAAATGAAATCTGTTAAAAAATGATCGTAGCACGAATTCAGTCTTGCTGGTCGCTGAAATAGTTCTTTCCGAAACCCACTGGGAGAAGAAAATAGGGGGAAAAAGTCTGCAAACGTAAATTTAAATTATTTTCAGATCCTGTTCGCGAGGAGGATTTCCAACGACCCTTTCAACACTGAAACAAAGAGATTTCCATCCACGCGTACACGCACCCGCGTGTGTATCGACGGAAAGATACCCGTGTCTCATCCGCGTTTAACCTTCCGGATAAAACGAAATCCATTACGCACGCGGAGGGAACGACGCGCACGAGTCCAGAGCATTTCCATTTATATTACCTTATCGTTATTCTTCCGGTCCGCTACCTTTGCCCCCCTTTTCACCTGGATTCCCCGTTTTCCCTGTCGTTTCTCTTTCTCCTTCCGTGTTCCCGCGCTCACCTGATCGCCAACGAATTCGCGACTCACTCCTGCCGCAGGACCACCGTGAACACGCACTTGCTCGACCAACCTGCCTCGTCACTTGCCTCGTACTCCACTTTATGGCCACCGATGTCGAAGCGCCGTCCTGGGCTCTGAAACGAGAAAAAGATTCGTCGAATGTTGAATACAGCGTGTACGCACGATTTATGAATGTAGGGATACTGTTTGATTGGCAAATATTAAGATTAAGGGATGTCATTTTATTCTGAAATGTAATAAATATATATTACAGTTAAATGAGAGACCAGAAGTAAAGTATAAACTGAAAGACTAGACTGATACAACCGACCAACACTCTCACCTCAACTCTAAAAATTTCGTATAGGGACTGTTTCAAGACAGTCCTTGTACCCTTATTTAACCCCCTGGTCCCAAAACGTAAACAGAACTGCCAAGCCTTCGAGCCATTTCACGGCTCGGCAAGTCTGTCTTAAGTTGTACCAATCGCAATGACTTACGTGGGGCACATCAACGAACCATGGGCGTGACACGTGGTGTTTACATTTGGCCCGAACGACGTGCCACGAGCCAGGCCCGTGATAGTCGGTTTTGACCCAACCCATGTACTACGGGCCAGATTCGTGATAATCAGTTTTGGCTCGAATAACTGACCACGAGTCTCACACGTGGTTGTAGACCAAAGAGTTAAACCTAGCAGTCTCTTCTTTCACACGCAGGCTTTCTTTCTCGATTACTCATAAATATCCCGTTTATACAATCCTTGCACTCAATCACTTGTCCTTCCACCTGCACTGCAGATATCATCCTGAATATTCGATCTGAACTCGAGGTTGCTGTTTATTATACATCATCAGCCAGGTAGGTCCAAGTGCTCCCTTGCACTCGTTCTTAAATCCTACATGAATTATTGGATATGTTTCTACTCGTCCTGGCAAAGTGATCTCTTTTGGAACCTGTAATTCCGCAGTAACACGTGTAGCGTTATCTTAAGGATACTATTAACTTTGCTAAAAGGACACGAATTTCTTGGTAATTACGAAATATCTAAAAAGAATTTCGATGTTTGACGTGTATTAGGTTGGCATACGTAGAGATGTCCATTTTATGAAGATTATTGCGATGCGTGATGTTTGGCTATTAGGATTCAGTTATGATATAATTGGCATGTTGAATATTGAGAAGAATTGTGACAAAAGAGAACTCCTCGTTTGATATGATAAATCGTGCGGATAGTATGCAACCTTCCCTGTGAGTTGCAACGTTGAAAATGTAGAAGCTGGTCATAGTATGAATATAACATTCGAAGAAGCTTATGCAAATGCTGGGAGAGTTCAACGTTGATTTGTAGAATTCAGGACGAAGTTTCGTGTCCGACTTTCATTACACAATAAGCCAGAAAGAATAACAACGTGTCAAGAGCAATGAGTCAGGACGATACATCAAGAGAACAATAGACTCAGAAAAATGAGAGTTTTAAAGGAGGAAAATGTCATGAGAAATACAATTTTCGCAGATATTATTGCGGAATACACTTTAAACAAACTTCCTTTTTTAATATTCTTCGGATAATTTTGAAATAATATTCTTCAGATAATTTTCAAATAATTTTCAGATAATCTGTACGAGTTTGAAACCTGATTTTAGAAAAGGACATTTCGCATTCACTAACGTAATGCATTCGGCAGTGGTGAGATGAAAGGCTACCCTTGGACGGAAAATCGCTGACTTTAAGCAGGATTAGGATCGAGAAAGACGATGATAGAGATATATAAAGACAAAAGTGGAGAAGGTACCGGAAAAGGAAAATTGAGAGAAAATCCTTTCGACCTAACCTAAGCGCCACATATGCGCTTCCGGGGCTACACTAAGGTGAGAAAATTATCTAGGAAGGTAGCGAGACTGAAAAACTGAGAAACTGGAAAGCTGAAAAACTGAAAAACTGAGAAATTGAGAAACTGAAAAACTGAGAAACTGAAAAACTGAAAAACTGAGAAACTGAAAAACTGAAGGTATCTAGAAAGGGAAAGTTCGAGAGAAGAAAACAGACCAGGTTTCCTTTAAAAGAGTTCACTGACCAGATGAAATCAGTGACGTAACTGCGACACTAGAATTGTATCGTAATAGTGTACTAACTGTTAGGCAATTAAAGTTCCTAGTTTTGGGGGATTTAAACTTCCTAGATCGGCGATTTCGTAGAGTTCGATGAAGCCTGTCTGAGAAGCGACGTTGGAAAAGTGCTTTCACTGCTATTGTCGATTTTTACACGATTAAAATTGTATTAATATTACATTAGCTATGCGCGTGTTAAAACATTTTATAATATTTTGGTATTTTACTTCGCAAAATGAAGTATGTTAAATTCACATGCGGCGCAGAAATTTAATTTTTCTGATGAATAATCGAAACGATGAACATTCGTTATTCATACAATGAATTTTAGGAAGATTAAGAAAATAGAATAATTTATAATCAAATTTACTGTCATACAGTACTCGTGTAATACGAATTAACTCAATCATCACATGTAAGTTTGAATATGAAACACAGAACTAGCGTGAAACAATTCGACATAAGCTTTTTTTCAATATTTTAATCACTATTCTACCTAAATATCGAATTTAATTTCAAATGGAAAGTGTACAAAGATCTCATATAAAAATAGTTATTATACGATTCAAAGTTATTCGATACTTTTTCTAAATTATCCTATAAATGTGTTTCCCAATTTTTTATCATTTTTTTCTCCCCTAAACTATCGTACAAATTTTAAATTCCGGGAAACATTTTATCCGACTACGATTCAAATATGCAATTCTAAATATCCAATAACATACCGTAGAGTATTTTCATATAACGATATTTCGTTCGCTGAAATGCATAAAGCGAAATTTTTCGACATTTTGTAACCCCCACGAGCAGTCACTTGCTTTTGTTCCAGCTACGGATTTAATTCAATTGGATCCAGCTTGAAGCAGAGCAAGAGGTTTAGAATGCACGGAAAAAGATAAAGGGTAGCCAGTATTTATGAGGCAGCATCATATTCTCTGTACGATGCTACGTAGCCGTGAAACACGGCTTACCATCACCAAGTAGTTTGTAAACAAAATTGTTACACGATATTTGCATGGGAACATAGGTCGTCCTCCGTGTAAACTTTGCGCAGTTTAAATTCTAGGCAAACTTCTGCAGTTTGCACAACCAATTCGAACTGATACACGGGACCAAATCAACATCACGACGCGTCGATTTCATGTAATAGCATAATCAAAACTGCAATTCGTTCGACGAGAGAGTTACGTTCAACTCGTCACGTTCGTTTCATTTTCAACTTGAACCTTTTTTCTCCTTTTCTTTTTTATTTTTTTATTTTTTTTTTGGATCACATTTTATTCCATACGAATTTGTTGGAGAATATATTTACCGTTTACACGAATTATTAATTTCACCGACAACCGTCATTTAGCGGAAACCTACGAAATAACATTTTCTCCCGGAAATTAAAAATTCAATAATGGTGATATTTATTTCCAAAACATTTTTCAATATTCGCGCGAAATTGAAAAGCTCCTGTCAAATATCAGGATTTATTCGATGACAATAAGAAAACCTTTTGCTTCCAGCTACCACATGTACAAAAATTGTATCTATCAATGTCAGGAACGATATTTGCTTTCCGAATTTTTTAAAAATATTTATTCTCCTTCTTCCATTTATCCCTCTGCAGTATACAACTCTAAAGCACTATACCACTTTACTATTAATTAAGCAACGCAGAGTATTTCTCCACAGTTGATGCTCACAATCAGTGTAACCTAAAAGTTACAAACCTGTTTCGAAAAAATTAAAATCTTAAAAATTTGAGAAATTTGAAGAACTTTTTTTTTAATTAATTGATGAAACCTAATTTTGACAGTAAAATATTAAAGTTCGTAAAAATTAAAGGAATAAAATATCGATACGAATTATTGAAAGGAATTATTCGGAAAAAGGTGAGTGTAAGGTGTTTCATTTTTAATGAAACGTTCTTAGAAATTCCTCCATGATGTCGGATCCACGAGGTAGCCCTGGTAAGGAACTCCTGAGCAGTAATTTCACCTGAAAATAGTATTTCAGAACCGAAATTCCTGTTTGCACGTCCGGCTCGTTGGCCTCGCTTTTTTCTAATGTTTCTTCTTTCCTCGTGAATTCCCTTTCTTATGCAAATTTCCCCCTCGAATGGTATTACGAAATTAAAATGACAACGACCCTTATTTCGCGCACGATCTCGCTTAAATTTGAATTTCGCCAATATGACCTCGACTGCTGGATAATGAAAATAAAAAGCAGCAAAGCGACGGCAAATTAGGTTCGAATTTATCACGAAATACGTAGCAAAATTATAAGAATAAAATAAATTATTTTTCCATATACTTTAATATTTTTCTTTCCCCTTTTCTACCACTTTTCCCTTTTTTAATTGCTATTATAACGTGCTCCGAGTTTCGCATAATTAATAATCGACGAACAAAGTATTTTAATAGCGCATATTTGTAGGAAATTAACATGTCGAACGATTCTTGAAATATTCAGCGAAATATTCGCGAATTCTTTGTTCAACGCGTCTGAAGTTTCACACAATGAATTCGTGGCTCTATGGAGGCATATGTCTGTAAAATTAATAAGCCACGCATGGAATTTTTCCTTTGATCGAGATCCATGCTATTGCTGAAACACGAGAAACCTTTCAGTTCATTACCGAGTGTACTGGAACGAAATAAAGGAAATCAGAAATTAATAAATAATCCGTTATTAATATATGATTCACTGCTACGTTATATAAATAACGTATTGAAATTTCAACAATGGAGGATCGAGATTTTTAACCAATTTTCAAACTTAGTTACCAAAATGAAAATATTCTATAAATCATACGATATATCAGGAAATAATTTATTTCACCCACATAATATCCCAATAATAACAAAATTAAACGAACGAGAAAATTAATTTTCAATTCCTCGACACGAAAATCAATTATCCTACTTTCAGTCATCGATCATCGAAAACAAAGTGAAAACGAATCCTCAACAAACGAAGTTCCATTTTGTAAATTAAAAACATTTAAAAAATGATAAATTAATTCTCCTTCCTTAATTGATACTAAAACTGTGAAATTAGACACAACGATTGTCAAACATTCTCCTATCACATTACCAAAATTTTAAGGACAAAATTAAACGAACGAAAAAATTAATTCTCGATTCCTCGACAAGAAAATCAATTATCCTATCTTCAGTCATCGATCATCGAAAAAGAAATGAAAACGAATCCTGAACAAACGAAGTTCCATTTTGTAAATTAAAAACATTTAAAAAATGATAAATTAATTCTCCTTCCTTAATTGATACTAAAACTGTGAAATTTGACACAACGATTGTCAAATATTTTCCTATCACATTACCAAAATTTTATATCTATGCCTTACAAAATTAATATCGACATTTATTCGAATAAAAACGTATCCATACATATCTATCAATTTTCACGATTTTAATTATCATCTACTATATTTCAAACTACATTTAAACACACGTTATAACTGAATATAGTTCTCCCCGTTGAAAAGTGAACCAGTACTGCAAACAAATAACGATCCCTTTCTCGTTACCAGTCACTCAAAAATCAATTATCCCACTTGCATACATTAATCAACGAAGAATTAATCAACAGACAGGAAATGAAAGCTGATTCCCTGTATACAAATGAAGTTGCACGACGATCGATTAAACGTACGAAGCTAGGTGTTTCAGACATCATGCTCCTGCACTAGCAGGCTCGTACAAACAGGGTAGTGCAAAGTCTACAGAGTGATCTGTAGTTCGCAGTTCCGCAACGAGCGTTCGTAACGAACGTGACACACATTCGACTAATCGGAATATGATCGAACGTCGTTAAGAAATTAAGTGTTTTAGAATTAACACTGACCTCGTTGCTCCTAATCCGTGTCACCCTCACGTTGTCCGTGAAAATTGGCTCGGTCCACGTGATGGACGTCCCATTTCGCCCAGTAACCTCTATGTCGTTCGGACAGTCTTTAACTTTTGGCGCCTCGCCGCCTGAAATACGATAAAATGCAATCAAAAGACCTCCTCTCTCCGCTTGGGAAAAGGCGACTCGTTTGACGCGGGGAATAAAACGCGAAAGGGTAATGAAATACAGGCAACGTGATTCTTCGGGACGTTAAAGTCTCCTTGCTCCGTGTAGTAGTACAGGGGATACGTGTAAGTGAAAGCAATTTCGTAGGAAACGTTTTATCGTGTTTTGGTATAGGATACTTGGAGGGAAAAATCGAGTGTGCGATTTGTGGAATTTATGAGAGGAAGTTCCTCTTCTAATTGTTTCCGTGTTATATGGTATTCTCTGTGATACCTAAATGCCTTCCTTCCCGATATTTTTAACGTATGCAATAATAGGAAATGACCAATTCAAAAATTTAGAGAATTTTATTTATTTAAATTCTCATTTCGAAATTATTCGAATTATATAGCACACGTGTTATATATTTTTATTTCAATTTCGGTATGTACATATGTAAAATTTCGTTCTAGGAGATATGCAAAATTTCCGATGGGGTGGCTGCGCAGCTCACGCGTGAAGGGTTGCTCATTTGAATACGAGTAAAGATACTGTTATTTGCAACGAAATGTAATTACGTTTCTTCGTTTTGTTTCTCGTCTTTCGATCCATATTCATTAAATATGGCTGCATAAGGTCAGCTCGATCGGTATTCACGAACCTTACAATGAAATGTAATTACATTTCTTCGATTCATTTTTCTCGTTTTAATCAGTGTTCGTAAATATCTTTGCAACAGGAATAATTACACGGAGTCAGGTAGATCGATATTCAGGTATGTAGATCTCGCAGAAATGAAAGAACTGTTTGCAAGCTACGTGGTGTTTCGAGGTCTGGGAACAGTGGATGTAGATAATGCAAACCTGCGTCAGAATGACTGAATGACGATCGTAAATGTGCGTGGGAGTGAGCCAGTTGCAAGAGTAGTTTATGTATTAGCTTGCTTTACGTGAAATACCCTTTTTCCAATAAATCTTTAACCTCTTCAAGAACGAATTTTTGAATGCTACAATAATCTAACTGCACGATAATATTGTTAAGTAAATAATTAATATATTCATATAAATATAATATCCACTAACGAATAGTCCTACAGCTGATTCTAATTTTCTTTTTACTTATAGTAATCATAATTAAAGAAAAATTAAACGTTCACGCATGTGCCATAATCCCTGAAGAGGTTAAACAATTTTATTTCCTATGAAATATTATATACTCAGTAAAAATAAATTCTACGCGATTTCGTGGTTTCTTTGTATTTTCCTAGTTTAGATAGTATCGTTTAGAATAGCATTCGCGACATTTCCAAAATTTAGCTCCCTTTTTAATAAAATATTACTACTCTAGAATTTAGCAAATCACCAATGACACCCTGACCTCTTACCTAAAATCACATCAATGAACTACAATTATACCGTGGAAAATAATTTGCCAAAATTATTAAAATTAAATTTGTTAAAAATTAAATTCGTAATAAAAATAATAAAAATAATAAAAATAAATTCTACGTGATTTCGTGGTTTCTTTGTATTTTCCTATTTTAGATGGTATCGTTTAGAATAGTATTCGCGACATTTGCAAAATTTAGCTCCCTTTTTAATAAAATATTACTACTCTAGAATTCAGCAAACCACCCATGATACCAAGACCTCTTACCTAAAATCACGTGAATGAACTACAATTATACCGTAGATAATAATTTTCCAAAATTATTAAAATCAAATTCGTTAAAAATTAAATTCGCAATGCAGACATACAACCCATCGAATTTTTCCCTCAGTAATATCCTAGATAGAAATTGACGATGGTGGGAAAAATGTAAGTTGAAAAGAAAAAGCACATTTCACATACACGAACTTAGCATAACCGTGAGAAAGGAGTTCGGGGGGAAATAAGAATGAATATCAATGAACAGAGAGCGCAGGGAAAAGTGGAAGAATCGTTTGGAAAGTCCTTAGAAAAAGGGAGGGAAAATGGCTGTGAAGAGAAGTTACGCAGTTTGAGAGCAAATAATTAGTTCTTTGCGTATCTTCAATGGCAGTACCATCGAGCAACGCGAAGTTCACAATTACGAAACTTTATCTTGTTTCAATTAAGCGGAAACATTTGCTGAACGTTTAACAGAACGAGACAGCCTTTAACGATTACTGTACCGGACATTAGTATTACGTGAGGTGTTCTCCAATGTCGAGATGTTAATATTCCCAGCATATTGTCGATTAAATGAACCACTGCAATAAACGCCATTGTAGAAATATCGCGATACTGCGCATAACGAAATTAAAGCACCGGGAAATTCACTCGAAGGCTCTTATTGTGCGTCGATTTAATTTGCATATCAAGCTACGCCTCGAGAAGCAAACTTTTCACGCTGACGAACGAAAATTAATAATCGAATAAAAATAGTTGGAAATTAGAAGATTACCCTGGGATGCTATTTTCGGAAAAATAAATCAAAAACGGACCAATATCGGTGCAGGAAAAAATCAAAAATCGACTACCATTATGGGATTCTATTTATAAAATCAAGCTAGCTTGCGTGATCTGTGCAGGGGGTGAAACATGGGTCAGTGAAATGGTGTTCTCGCAAGGGGTGAATCGCGAATCGACAAAGTGGGGTAATTTTCACGGGGGTAAATCGCGAATTGATTGAATCGGATCAGCCAATTAACGATTCATGAAAGCACGTCATCAAGCTTGGCAAAGGGCATAAAAATAGGATCCTAGGCGATACAGGGAGAGTCCTGAGTCGATTGAAATTTTTTTTTAAATCTGTGCAGAGGTAAGGGTAAAATCGTGCAAGGTTTGGAATCTTCAAGAACTGAAGACAAGCCATCGTGGAATTCCACGTGGACGATATCTCCAATTACAGAGCACGGTAGCAACAACTTTCGAGTCATAACAGCATATATCAACAACTCGTGGATGAAGGATAGATATAGGAATTTCGAGATTCGAAAACCGATAGAAGCGACTTCAGCGTTCAGAAATTATATAGATAGTAGAGATGACACTTGAAATGTGAAGGCAAATGTCATGAAGTTCGTCGCCATGAGGTTCCGTCAATTACGGTTTCTTCGAGTAGTATAACTTCAAATATCAGTGAACCAGACTTCGAAGTTGAAGGAGAAAATCAGAAGCGAAGTAAACTTCCCAAACGCATAAATAAATGTCAAGGATATCAAACTAACTTTGTAATCGTAACCCCGGCACGGAAATACTCGTAGTGAAAAATAAAGATGAAATTTTTATTTTGAAATTATCGATTAGTCAGATGGTGAAAATTGTGTTGGGATTATGGGAATAATTCGGGACGGAAATGGTAAAACAAATGGTAAAACAAACCCTATTCGGGATTTAAAAATGAATAACACTCTATTGTTAGACGCAATATCATTAGGTTATTTGGAAAATTCCTGGCATTTTGATCTCTGGCTGAAATATTTAATATTTCGTGGCATGAAATAGCACGAGCGTTCACAATTGACCAATTATTGTCTATTATTCGCGAAACTTCTTTTTCGTAATAGAATATTTCAAAAACCTGAATGGCCACAGCAAAAAATTCGCTGCTAGGAAAATCGAGTTTTCCAGGAAAACAATCGTCGAATAGAAGGTAAAATGTCACCAAAAGGTAAAGTTCGATTATTCGATACATTGCCTGTCAGATAGATGAACTATATAAAATACGCTCGGTTAAAAATAGTCGAATTTTTTAAGAAATTTATACTGGTGTTGAAATCGATAGAGAATTAATTTTTAAACGACTCTGACATCGAAAGCGTTAATAAAATGATAAAATTCTGTACGATTACGTCTTGATAAATTTATTCTAGCAAATAAGCGAACAACCCGATACTGCTGTGTGGACTATCCAACATCGATCTCTCGATCATCTTCGAACCCAGTCGATCCATGCTATCTCGTTATTAATAACCGTGTAGTAAAGAAGAAAAAACAAGCGCAGTTCATTAGCTTGACGCGCAGCATACCGAGCACTTCATGGCGTCGCGCCATCATTGCGGTTTATCGATACCAGTTTCTACGATTTTAAAATTGATACCGACATACGCCCCTGAAAATCATTTATATTAGATCCACAACCTCGATACCGGCTACGGTAATAACCTTCGTATTGCACATACTGATTGACTTTATTAAAACAACCGCCAAAGAGATTGCCACGAATACACTCGCGTTCGTAATTATTAGGACACTTACGGCGAGCCTGGTAATCCTGAAGAATTATTAAAAAACCATGAAAACTTTGAGAAATTATCTCGTTTGGAATCTGGAGCCATAAAGACCTCACACTTTTAATAAGGTAATAAAATCATCAGCTATACGTGTACAATAATAACGTAGAAAAAGGAAAATCTTTTTTCTCCTTTGGATTACTATATTATACTATAATATACTATAATATACTATAATATACTATAATATACTACTATTACTATTACTATACTATACTATACAATACAATACAATACTATACTATACTATACTATACAATACAATACTATACTATACTATACAATACAATACTATACTATACTATACTATACTATACAATACAATACAATACAATACTATACTATACTATACTATACTATACTATACTGCTATTGCTATACCACTATTAGTATACTATACTGCTATTGCTATACTATTACTATACTATACTGCTATTGCTATACTACTATTACTATACTATACTGCTTTGCTATACTACTATTACTATACTATACTATACTATACTATACTATACTGCTATTACTATACTACTATTGCTATACTATACTACTATTGCTATACTATACTATGCTATACCATACTGCTATTACTATACTACTATTACTATACTATACTATACTATATTTATACTATATTACTATACTATACTATACTATACTCACAGCATCACTCGTTCAATGCTTTACGACACTGCGTTCACTTTTCAATCACATTTATTGCTATT